TTGGTTATAAGTCATTTAAAAACACCTTTTGGGTTCTTTATTTGCCTTCTGGTCTGAGCCTTTAGGTTATGTTAAGTCAGATTTTCTGGCTTTTCACTGCAACCATGAAGGACAGAAACTTATTTTTAAAATATTTTTAAATGAACACAGAATGAACCCTGAGATTCTCATGCAATCTTGATTCCAGCAGCTGGGGTTTAGAGAGAAAATACCATGAGGCTTGTGATAAAATTGTGAGAGTTAGTTGGCAACCCCTTCAGATGGATAGCATGGAAAGCTTCAGTCCCACTTGTGCATTTAAAAAAAAAGATAGATGTATTTAAAACAGTGAGTTAATGTGGGAAGTGTTTTGCTTTAGCTCTGTCTAGCTGATGCTATTAGGCAAACTTTATACTATGCTCTTTTGTGTAAATATAACAGTATATCAGTAACTGATTACTGTATGCAAGGGGGATGAGTTAGCATTTCTGTGAGTACAATAGTTCTGCAAAATTTAGGCATTTCAGATTGGCAGGCATAATGCTGCATTAACATAAGGTTCCCTCTCACCCCAAACTTTCTTGATGCAAGTCTTAGCCACATTTTTCACTATCATTACAAAATGTTCTTATCTTCTGTTTGTTTTTTCACAATTCTGTCTTGTATAGCTGGAATGAGGGAGAGAGACCCAAATAAGAGGACAGAAAAATAGTAGATGGCTTTTCAACTTGTGTGTCACTAATTTTTTTAGAAAAAATAACACTTGTATAACTTCTGAGTTTGCATATGTAATGGAAATAATTCCCAAGAGAGAGAGTGAGAATTTAGATTAGTGTGGGATGGAAGTAATTTTGAATCTGAAATGAAGGCCATCCTTCGTAATGCAGGGCCATTTTATGCTGTGCATGTGAAAGATTTGCGGGATGATATGTGATGGCCATTGTTGCATTAGTATTTCCCTGAGAGTTTTCATTATGAACATTTAAAAGCTTTTTTTAAAAGGAATAAATAAAACAACATTAATCCCAAAGTAATTTACTTTCTGGCTTGTGTTTATAAATGAGCATAAAATTATAACTATTCAAATTCAACGGCTAATGAAAGTACTAAATGTTATGGCAATTACCCTAAAAATCAGAGTTATGGGCATATTAGAATAGCCTATGTCTTGAGCCACCTTTTACAGAACTCTGACCTAAGTTAGGAAATAACAGCTGAATGTCACTTGATTTCCCAATGAAGTTGCCTTCAAATCTGATGTTTGATGTCAACAGATTGAAAACCTTTGTCTACACTTCTGCCTGGTATTTGTCTTCTAGGTACCTTTTAAGCTGATGTTACATAAATTGTTAATGTTTACTGAAATAGTGTATGAAATATTATACTGAACAAAACAAGAAGCCTTTGGAAGTAATCTTATAATACAGAATGCCCTGCTTAAGAGGTGTACTAAAGAGGGCAGTGACTTAAAATATGTTGTCCATAGACCTCTGATAAAGAATAAATAGATTGGGTAAAGACAGAGCCTCTGAAGGCAGCAGCTGCTGAGTTTCCTGCAGCTGGAGAAAGCTCCCGGAGGTGGAGGTAGGTCTGATCTCCCCAGTGCTGGTGGGAGCACCCCAGCTGGGGGCTCCTAGCTGCTAGTCAGGGCCAGTGGTGGATTAATGTATCGGCCTATGGGGCCCGTGCCCTGGGCCACCAGACAATTTGAAAAATGGGTGTCTCAGCCCTGGCAGGAGCTGTGGGGGCTGAAGCCCTGAACTCAGGCACCCCGAGCCTGGGCAGAAGCTGGGGGGGGGGGGGGGCAGAAGCCCCGAGCCTGGGTGGCCCGGAGCCTGTGCACGAGCAGTGGGGGGCAGCAGCCCTGAGCCCTGGCTGGAGCCGGGGGGGGGTGGAGCAGAAGTTTGGAGGTTGGGCAGGATCTTCAGGGGGCAAAAGCTTCAAGTCCTGGCTGGAGCTGCGGGGAGTGGCAGCCCCCAGCCCAGGTTCCCTGAGTCCTTGGCAGGAGCCGCAGGGGGTGGAAGCCTTGAGTCCTGGCTGGAGCCCAGGTAGGAGCCCCGGGGAAGGGTTGGGGGGCAGCTCCGAGCTGGGCAGGAGCTGTCGGGGCTGGAGCTGCAGGAGGTAGCAGCTAGTGTTCCCTCTAATTTTCCCCACGAATGTGTGGAATGAATTTTGTAATGCGCAGCAATATGGAGGTGATGTGTGACACCATATTGGTGCACATAACAAAATTCATGTGGCGGGGGGGTGAGGGGGCTCAGGGCTGGGGCAGAGGGTTTGAGTGTGAGTGTGTGTGTGTGGGGGGTGAGGGCTCCAGCTGGGGGGGTGAGGGCTGCCCCGGGGCTACGGTGGGGAGAGAGGACTTTCCCCCCCCCCCCCCAGTTCTCTGTCTCTGCTGCGTCAGGTCCTGGGCTGGGGCCGCAGGATAGGCCCCTCTCCTCTGGCCACGGCAGGTCCGGGCTGGGTTGGGGCCGGGGGAGGGGTGCCTCTCCCCAGCCACAGTCCTGAGCACCTGCGTGGCGCTTAATAGGCTGCTGCATGGCCGTTCAGCTTAGAGGGAACTTAAGTGGCAGCCCCCAGCCCAGGTCCCTGAGCCCGGATGCTCCCAGCCCCAGCAGGAGCCGTGGGGTCGGGGCAACACTCAGTCCAGGTCCCTGAGCCCCGTCAAGAGCTGCAACTACTACACCCCCGGCAGGAGCTAAAGGGGTGGTGGGGGGGAGCAGCAGCCTGGAGCCTGAGTGCCCAGAGCCTGGGTGGGGATGACGGCGGCGGCGACAGCGGGCAGAAGCCTGAGCTGCAGGGGGAGGACAGAAGCCCTGGACTAGGGCATCCTGAGACAGAACAAGAGCTGCGGGGGGCGGCAGCCCAGAGCCCAGCTCAGGGGCTGCTGCTGCGCAGAAGTGAGGGTGTACCACTCTCATTTCTGCACTGCCTGTGGAGGTGGGTCTGATTTCCTGCCATAACAGCCATGCAGGGGAAGGACAAGTCCTGTCCCTCCCCAGCCCACCTGACTTCGGAGAGATCAGATTTCATGGGGAAAGGCTTATTTCACGATCCGTGACATGTTTTTCACGGCCATGAAATTGGAAGGGCCCTAACTATATACTACTGTAATTTGAGGGGAAAAGTAAATACATTTAAATTAACTCTGGCTTTTGGAACAGGGGTGTGTATGTGTGTTTTCTCAAGCATAAAGATTTGTTTGTGCAAACTAGTCCCAACATTACTAAATTGTGAGCTTCTAGTAATGATAAAGCTGCAGTGCAGGTCTATAGGAGTGTATTGCTGCTTGCACTGTAAAACGCTAATTGTATCTGTAGGCACTACTTTGTATTGACTGCTATTGGCTCCTCTCACTTGATCTTGAGCAGGTCAGTAAACGTTTGTGAAAGGTGGTAGTAAGAGTATGTTAAAAGCTAAGGAGAAGGAATGAAGTTGCTTTAAGAAATTATGAGCTTCTTCAACAGGAGGTTTTCTCCTTGAAAATATGATAAAGGCCTTTTCATATTCTGAATTTTATAATGCATTAATCTATCTGGAGAGATTTCATAGGAGTGTGAATTAGATCAGTAAGGATTTTTCTTCACTAAAAGACACAACACTTTTATCCTGTAGCATTTCTCCTTTGTAATTCAGACTTGCTTTTTGTGAGCTTGCACCGTGCAAAAGTAATTTTTATTTTAAATGTTTCTATTTTTGTGATTCTATCACCTGTAGAGGGTGTCTTGTTCTCAGATGCAATCCTTGCAGTTTATCGATTTTACTATTTTAATAACATTTAGATCGGCAGCTCAGTTTTCCATTTTTCTCTGCACAACTATTTCTGTGCAGGGCAGTGAAGTACACATAGTATTTTAAAAGACATACTTCAGGTTGTGTAATGTTTTAGTTAGAGCAGAGTCTGAGCGTTGAGCTCCAGGCTAGATAACCCTCTCCTCCCCAGTCATTTAAAAAATGTAACAAAGAGCCTTCTGGCTTTTTCAATAAAGTAAAATTTATATTCGTTTTTAGCTTGCCTTCTAAGACTGTGTCTTAGGCAGAACGGATTGTATTAATTTGCAGTGCTTATTTCTATGCCCTGTTTCCATCTGTAACACTATGATACTTGAAGAGAAATAAACAAATGTTTTCACTTCATATATGAAGTGTTTTGGAGAACTTAGAGGCGTAAAAACTGCTGTAAGAAGAACCGAATAGACAGCTGAGTCATGATTGCAAAGTGTGTCAGCTGGGCTTGTGCAAATTAGTAATCTCTGCAATTTAGAGAACCACTCACTAAGTAATGTAGCCGTAGCTCTCTGAAAGGGATAGTTTGTTTCAAAACAAATTATCATAAAAGATTTGTGGTAATATGCTGGTTTTGTATGATTTATTTGTTTCTGTTAAAAACTAAGGGTGTATCTAGTTGGAGCCTGCTTCTAGAGGCCTGTCTTCTCTATTGTACGAAATTGACTGGTGGATGAAAAAGGTTCCCAAAAAGGGTCCCCATGAACTGGTAAAACTGTTAGGGTAGAAAGGACAAAAGTTTCTCAATCAGCATTTCCATTACACTGTTGGAAACTCTTTCCACTGGGGTTTGTATAATGGCTATCACGAAGGAGCTCTTATCCTGATTGAGGATGCTGGGTGCTACCTCAACATACATATTAAAGAGTAATAGTATGGCAACTTTCAACACTGATTCAGGGGGACTGTTGCTGACATCCCTTGTCAGATGCAGGACAGTTGCCTAGTGTAGGTGAGTCGTTGGAGGGGGGAAGTGTCTCATGTTGCACTGCAGTGACCCCTTTGGTTGGCTCAGGTGTGTCATTGACAAGTTCCAAAGGGAGCTCTGTCATCTTTCCTTTGCTGGAGTGATAGTCTAGCAAATTGGTGGACTGAAATAAGGATGACGTGAAATTCTTTGGCTTGGAGAATACCTAGTTGGAAGAAGGAGGAAAGTAATGAAAAATTGAATTGCTTTTGTACTGCAGCACTTGCTGCTCTATTTGCAATAATAATTTGTTTCCCTTACTTGATAGGATGTTTCGCCTTCGAGTTCTTGCTGCTGTGGCAGGCTTAGAGGCTGTTTCCCGATGTTACCATGGAATGGCACATCCCACCAGAAGCAGGCAAAGACTTATGATGGCAGCTTTCATAGGAACAACTGCAGCAACAGCGAGTGCTGGACTCCTGTGGAAGAGGTAAGTGCTCTCAGGAGTCATTCTTGAACAGAACTTCAACCTGCTGCTGCTTTGGTCCTCCGGAGAAATTAATGTGGAGTGAATTTTACCTTGATCGTAGGAGCAACAGTAGACTATGCAAGGCAGCATCACTGCCTTGAGTTCCATTATGTGGCGGGGAGCAGCTCTTGAGTGGACCCCATATCCATGCATACATCTGGACCCCATATCCTACATGCAATAGAATTAGGCTCGGAGGGTGTTTGGTAGATGAGCAGGAGCTTGACTAGATTCTGTGGTTACATGGATCTACTGGACAGAACCCCTTCAAGGTTTCTAAGAGTTGTCCCCCTTATTCTAGCTACAGAAGGGCTGTGGAGCTGTCATGCCTTGCCCACTGACTGGGAAGCAGATTATGTATTCAGGCACAAAGTCTAACTAATACAGTACAGACCCGTTTATGCGCGGATGTCAAGCCGTCACGACCACGTGTTAACGGACTGCGGGTTAAGAGGGCCATGCTGAAATATCTTAAGATATCTATAGATACATGTATAATTATCTAGGATTACATACGTGTTCACAGTGTCCCAAATACTGCAGGCCTATCTGTTAACCGCGCTTTGCAAGAATATAAATTCAAATGTGTAATCTAATAAAAACATTATTACTACTACACAGGAGTGAAAGTAACTCAGGACACTTACCGATACAGGGCGGAGGTGGCTCTGGCCCCTGGAAAGGGCGAGGCCTCGGGTGGAAGGGGCGGGGCTAGGGGTCAGCATCCCCCAGCCAGCCCTTCCAGGCCGCCTGGTCTGCGTCACCCGGAATTTCCATGGTGATTTAAAGGGCCCAGGGCCCTTTTAAATTGCCAGCCCCAGGGAAGCTGCTCCCTTTGCGCCCCCCGCCCGTCGCAGGGACCTTAAAACGCTGCAGCGTCCTGTGCCGTGGCAGCGCTTTAACATTGCTGCGTCCTCCCCCGCTCCCCCTCCCGTTGGCGACCCAGCACTGCTGCAGCAAAGGACCGTCCTTAAAGCGCACTTTAATGTCCCTGCCCTTTTTGCCTCCCTTGT